ATTTTACTTTTAAATACGGTGCTGGTGATGGACCAAACCTCTGTAGAAAAAAAAGTAGATGCTAATTCCACATTTATTGAAAATATATTTCGGACCGGGTTGACCCTCGTCAATTCTTGAGATTGTTTCTGTCATGAAGATTATAATTCATACTAAGATGCTGTTTTGTATCGGGTATTGCCATCTTTCTTGGAGGGACACTTGAACTTACGCTTATAATCCTTTTAAAATTCTGCCCGCCTGTTGAACTACAGTTCATGTAAATATTAAGATGGTTATAATGGATACGAAGGGGCGGGGGGTTCAAATATTATTACCTAGATATTCTATTCTGGAAGTATGTGATAGATGATTGCCCTGGGTTCTGTGAGGCTGGCTGGGAGCTAATAACAATGTGGTAGCCTTGATCCTAAATAACAACGTTGTGTTAACACTAGACTGGGAACACATCGTTGCCCAGGGTACTAATATTTACTCCCACCGTTTACTTTAGTTACTCCCGCCGTTTACTTTATTTACTCCCACCGTTTACTTTATTTACTCCCACCGTTTACTTTATTTACTCCCACCGTTAACTTTATTTAATCCAAGCGCCGTGCCGTTTGTCTGCACTTTGTCGTAAATTACGATTTAAGCTATTTTTCCACATAAAAATCGGCCCACTTAACTTAAAATCTCAAAAACTAAGTTAAGAACCTTCCGGTGGGTCTCCTAAGTTCCCCAACCAAAATTTGAGGCAAATCGGTCAAGGAGTTCCTGAGTTTTGACAACAAACAGAGATTAAAACTTCATTTTGATAATACACTAAGAGTGCAATTCTTTAAATAAATCGAAAAAATTTCGGATGCTAACCATTTCATAAAATTTATTTATAAACATTATAAGTGATATATTATGGGTAAGCAAAAGCAATAAAAAATTGGGTAAAATGATTCACTCAAAATTCAATTGATTGAATTAGAGATTATTCTGCGTAAATTAAAAATAAAAACATTTAATTTACGCAAAATATTGAACTTCAAATACAACATGTTAAGAAAATTCTTATTCGAGTATTTGACAAGAATTTTAAAATTGATTAAAGAACGTACACATTTTAGAAATGTAAGTAAAAAAGTAATTGGAAAATGAAAAACTATTTATTTCCTTTTTAGATGAAAGGAGTTAAACAAATTGAAAATTAGCATTAATCCAATAATTGGAAGAGAATGACATTAATTTGAAATCAAACGAAAACATACCATAAATGTAAAAACACATAAAAATACAAATTTTTCCAAAAAGGCGCTTAATTAAGATTTATGAAATGACCCTGAAAAAAATTCAAGTTTTTTTTAAAAACTAAATCTAATTTTTTATAATCAAAATCATTATGTAGACTTGGGGGGGGGGAATTATAACTAGATTAATCGATAAAGATTTCTATCTACGCATAAGTACTTTAAAATATAAAAGTTTCTATATTTTAATGAAATGAAAAATAAAATAATAAGTTATATTTTGCAAATTAAAATAGAAAGGAAAAATACGCGAGGAAGTAGTTTTTAAATATTTAATTGGAAAAAATACCCAAACCGTGCTGCAAGCAAACACAGGTAGAGTTTTACAATAAAATTATATTTTGGAATTTATTTTTTGTATATCATTATATTCTTAAAAGCTGCAAATTATAGAAAAAGATCTTTTAAATATATATCTTACAAAAATAGAGGTTACAGTGTTTTTTGAAAAAGGTTGGTTATTTGGCTAAATCAGAAAATCTGTTATGTGATGTAAAAATGAATAGAAGGTTGGAAGGATGAATAAATGAATAGAAGGCTGGAAGGATGAATAAATGAATAGAAGGTTGGAAGGATGAATAAATAAATAGAAGGTTGGAAGGATGAATAAATGAATAGAAGGTTGGAAGGATGAATAAATGAATACAAGATTGGACGGATGAATAAATGAATAGAAGGTTGGACGGATGAATAAATGAATAGACGGTTGGACGGATGAATAAATGAAAACAAGGTTGGAAGGATGAATAAATGAATAGAAGGTTGGACGAATGAATAAATGAATAGAAGGTTGGACGGATGAATAAGTGAATATAAGGTTGGAAAGATGAATAAATGAATATAAAATTGGACGGATGAATAAATGATTACAAGGTTGGACGGATGAATATATGAATAGAAGGTTAGAAGGATGAATAAATGAATAGAAGGTTGGAAGGATGAATAAATGAATATAAGGTTGGAAAGATGAATAAATGAATAGAAAATTGGACGGATGAATAAATGATTACAAGGTTGGACGGATGAATATATGAATCGAAGGTTAGAAGGATGAATAAATGAATAGAAGGTTGGAAGGATTAATAAATGAATACAAGGTTAAAAAAGGATAAATAAATGGAAGGTTGGAAGATTGAAAGGATGAATGAAAGGATGAATGGAATGATGGAAGGAAGAATAAGTGAATGGCAAACTGGAAGGTTGGAAGGATAAAAAATGAATAGAAGGTTAAAAAGAATGTAAATGAATGAATGAATGATTAGCTCTTGGAAACAAACATGTTGAAAAGTTAGAATAATATTATGAATATATGAATTATAATGAAACTATCAAGGAATAAACATTCTAACCCTCATATCATTACGAATGGAGGAGTTTGACTTTTGATATTCTTAAAAGAAAAAATCTTTTCCGGTTAATATATTTTTTAAGTTATATGAGTAATAATTTTTAAAAGAATTTAAATAAAATGAATAAAATGAATACATGAATACATGAATACATGAATACATGAATACATGAATACATGAATACATGAATACATGAATACATGAATACATGAATACATGAATACATGAATACATGAATACATGAATACATGAATACATGAATACATGAATACATGAATACATGAATACATGAATACATGAATACATGAATACATGAATACATGAATACATGAATACATGAATACANATAAATTAATAAATAAATAAATAAATGAATAAATGAATAAATGAATAAATGAAAAAATAAAGACCTGAATGGATTGAGCAAAGAAGAAGTCCTCTGCTAGAAAGCATCCAAAAGCTTCCAATCCCCCGGCATTATCTAACAGCTGCTTCCGCATCAACGCAGACATCCCCGTCGCGCAATTGATGCCGAGTAAGTTGGCAGAGAGATAAATACGAGCGTGCCCCGTTCCAAAGTATACCTGGTAATAAAAAGATTCGTCATTTGTAAAATTTTTCTTGCAACTATTGATATCAATCGACCAAGACCAATCAATCGAAAGCCGTACCATCGCGCGTAAGTTAGGATGGGTTCAAAATATTTAATATGCATGACTAGTATTTAGAGAGCTGTAAAAGAAGTGATCTGAAAGCTGTTCAGAATATGAGTTGAATACAGTATAGAAGAAATATGAGTACAATATGGTCTAGAAGAAATATGAGTAGAATATCGTCTAGAAGAAATATGAGTAGAATACAGTATAGAAGAAATATGAGTAGAATACAGTATAGCAGAAATATNTTTAATTATATTAATACATTTTTTAGATACCTTTGAGACTATAGATAACGAGATAGAGAGAGAAGACAGAGAAACAGGGATATTTAGAGATATAGAGAGATAAACAGGGATATTTAGAGATAGAGAGAGAGAAACAGGGATATTTAGAGATACAGAGAGAGAAACAGGGATATTTAGAGACATAGAAAGAGAAACAGGGATATTTAGAGATACAGAGAGAGAAAAAGGGATATTTAGAGAGATGAAAATTTAAATTGGAAACAGGGATTTTTAGAGATACAGAGAGAGAAACAGGGATATTTAGAGATTTAGAGAGAGAAACAGGAATATCAAAGAGATAAAAGGAAAAGAGGGAGATAAATAAACAGAAAGTGTAAAAAAGCTAACCCCCCCCCCATCATAGGCGGTTTTGGGGTGGGGGGTAGTCCCATTACCCGCCCCCCCCTGAGTAAAGTTGGGGGGGGGGTGTAACCCCCTTGTATTTTTCTGAAGTCATTACTCCGAAGGCTTTTGACCTGGAACAGGTCATCGATGACCACCGACATGTTGGTCAAGCTGGAAAAAATGGCGATGCACCCAAAGAGACTTGCCTCAATTTCAGAACAGTTTTTTAAATGCCTTTATTTCTGGCGGCCCAAGAAAACTAAATTATCTTAGATTGAAAGGATTTTTAAAATTTTTTTTATTTTGGACAACAATTCCTTTTTTACTTTCAGTCTTCTTGTGGTATACTTTTATTATTAACTCTAAAAATAAACATAAAAATTATCATAATTTAACCCTATAAAGTTTGTGGGTCTGAATCTGCCGGGGGGGGGGGGNCCCCCCCTAGAAAAATACCTTAGAGAATATGTACAGGGTTAAAATGCATGTTCATCGCCCAAGGCCAGCTCGTTGAAGAAAAAAATTTGACCGATAACTAATAGTTTGGGTGCTAGGGAGGGTTGAAAAAGATGCAAATAAAATGGCCTAAAAAGTGTAAAATTTTTTGATTTTTTCCGGACTTTTTCCCGCCCTGTACCCTACCCTATGCATTAAAAGAATGTGTTTTTTAAACTTCTTTAAATTTCTATTCATTAAAAGTCACAAAATTTCACAGTAATAGTTTCAAAAATGAGAGTGCGAGGATAAAAAACTAGAGGGGGGAGGCGTGAAAGACCCCCTCTAGCCTGTTTAGGGTTAAGAAGCATTATTTACTAAAAGATCAATAATATTAGCAGGAAATAAGAAATAATTCTCCGTTTATTAGAATAATATGATGTGTTTAATGTTCAGAGTTCAATTCATAATACTTTTTTATATCATTATAAGATAAATAAATGGATTATTAAGACAATTGCCTACCCTAAACTAAAGAACTTGTAATTTCAGTAGGGTAAAAAATAGGACTTTTTAGCAATAGAGCTTAAATCCTGAAACCGCCATTCCCCAACATCGAAAGTGTAGAATGTGAAGGACAAAATCAGCTGTTCCCCCATCATAATCAGCGGCTCCGACCCAGAACCCAACTGGTAGGCGTAAGGTGGTACATCACCAAAATTTGAATTTTTAACATTTTTTTGAGAGAGAGATTTGAATGGCATTTTCAAATTTGAAGATATGGAAATTCTAAAAATTGGGTTTGGTTTATTTGGAGAAATGAAAAATTTAAACGTTCATGGGGTTTGCTGATTTTGAGATATGACCATTTTTTACGCTAAATTGCATTTTTCTTTTAAAATGGACATATTAAAAAATCTCGTGGAGGTTTGATCTTTAAACAGTGATGCCAGCCAATTTAAAACTGGATTTAAGCTCACAAAATTCCATTCTCCGAAGGCTGTAGGGCCTGGCTTATCTTTTATTCAATACATGCGGTATTTAAACAAAGGACACGTAATAGGAGGTTAAGGTTAATTACTGAAGATATCTATCCTAATATATAAAGCATGAATGACGATTTTAAGGAAATATTCATATGAATCATAAAAACCCGGGAGTTCTCTTTAACGTACACTAACCAAACAGTATGTATAGACAATGTTAATAAAGCTTAGTAAATGTTTGTTAGTGTCATACATGATAATGAACAGGGGATTAAAGGGGGGGCTTAAAAAGGGGCACGTAGAGTTCCCATTTTTAAGTCCATCTGTAATTGTTATCTTTATTTATCCCTCTCTCTATCTATTTTTTAATTTGCTGCAGAAGATTGTAAATCTTTAAACACCCTGTCCAGCAAAGATGTTTTAAAAACAATAAAAAAATACTCTGAATGCTCTTTATTTATATCTATTTATAATAATCTATGTTCAACTTTAGATCTTTTTCTTAAAATTTATATATATCTATATAGACTAAATCTATCTCTCTCTCTATCTATTCGTTTATCCCTTTATCAATCTAACCCCCTTTCTACCATGTAATTTATGTATCTATCTATCTACCGTGATATTGGTTTTCTGCTTTGTTTAAACATTGCACGACGTACAAACACTGTACAGTCTTCAATTAGTACATTAAAGTACACAGATCCTTACAAAATAGTTTAATCCTACCAGAAAATGCACTCGAGTAAGAATAAGACGAATAAGACGAATAAGACGAATAAGACGAATAAGACGAATAAGACTAATAAGACTAATAAGACGAATAAGACGAATAAGAGAAATAAGACGAACAAGACGAATAAGACAAATAAGACGAACAAGACGAATAAGGCGAATACGACAAATGAGACGAATAAGACGAATAAGACGAACAAGACGAATAAGATGAATAAGACGAATAAGACGAATAAGACGAATAAGACAAACAAGACGAATAAGACGAATAAGACGAATAAGAGGAATTTGACAACTCAAGGAATTCTAACTAAATATATATACAATACATGATACAATTAAATATAAAAAATATGAAGAGTAAGATCAAAATCTCTTTACCCCAAAAACTTAATTTTATCAATATTTTGGGGTGTTATGTCCAATCATAGTTTTTACCTTTTCAAGTATGGCAGGAAGACCTGTTCTGTCACAACTAAACGGCATCTAGAAAAATATCAAATTTAAAACTAAAATAAAACTAGAGTGACCAGACAGTCTGCAAATATTGAATTTTCTTTGCAGAAAAATTGGCGACAATATTACATGAAAGTAACATTTGTGCAAAATGTTGCAGTTATTGAATCGGGTTGGCCATCGTTTTTACAGTAGTTTAAATGTTTTCTTCATGTTATCTTTTTGAGATAATTTCAACTAAGAAACGGGATATAAAGGGGGTTGTTTACAAATCAACTATGACGTTTAAGAACAGCTGTTATAATGTAAACAAAAAATGAGACGACTGAACCGATCCGGGACTATTTTTTTGTCGGACAAAATCCACGGAAAAAAAACGATAAATCCGTGAAAACTTTTTAAGTTACTTTAATATAATTTAGGAAGAGAATATGCCTCAGAGATAGAGCAACAATTCAAAATTAAAATCAAAGCCTAGTTAACTAAAACTTGTTTAAGAAATGTCGTCTTTGTAAACAAACTTTATACCCTCTTTATAGCTTTTTTTCATTGGTCAAACCTACCTAATGCATGCATAAATTTAGTCTACCGTTTAATTATCAAATTTCACAAGAAAAAGACCTTTTAAATTCTAAAACAAAACTTTATTGTAAAAAAAACTTAATGTAAAAAATAATGGAAGATATTTTTTTTATTTCTGTAAGCCAAATTCGAATATATTTCAATTTTAAAGAAAATTCCAATTTTTTAAAAAATTATTTGAACTTTAGAATTAATTAAAAGAACCTTTTATAAAGAACCCTTAATTTTTAGATTAAATTACGTTGAAAAGAAATAGCAAAATGATGTTATATATATACAATACATGATACAATTAAATATAAAAAATATGAAGAGTAAGATCAAAATCTCTTTACCCCAAAAACTTAATTTTATCAATATTTTGAGTTGTTCGGGGTTTATTATTCAAAGTCAAACTAGCTTGGAAAGCCAGCTTTACCTGGAAAGTAAGTTTTTCCTTTAAAGTTAACCCACTTAACCTAACATATAAAGAACATGCGCATTGTTCTACAGATATCCACAATAAAATTTGAGGAAAATTGGTCAACATGTTCCCGAGTTATGATCGGACATCCAAAAAAACAGATAGAAAGTATACATATAGAAGGAATCATACACCGACAAGAGAGATAAACTTTGTTCAAATTCTTTTGATAACGTTCGTATATTTTAACCCTAAAACTTGTACTCATATGTATTCAATAATCCTTTATTGTTTAAACTATATGCGTGAAGCGGAAATGCCGGGCGGGTTAGATTTTACGTTTAAAATTATAAAAATCAAATGTCTAGACTATCTATCTATAGCAATCAAATCCAGGAGAAAATGAGGGCGACTCTTACTCTTTCTTAATTATTAACATGTGTCAAAACACGTGTTCACGGAATTCACAAAAAAATATTTTTTTTTATAAATTAAAAAAAATCCACCTGATGAACTAACCCAACTTTTTCCTTCATACATTGAACCATATCAAGCAGTGTATCCTCTTTCACTAAAATAAAAAGAAACAATTATCAATTTATAAACCAAAAATTAAGTACTTTAAGACCCGGTCAAATTTCCTTTCCTACATTACATATGCTCCCGAGTCCTGGTGAAAAAAAATGAAAAAAAGCTTGATTAAATAATAGGAGCAAATAATATATTATTAGTAGATTAATTGATGATAATAAATATTTATAAATTTTTATTCAACACAACATGTTCTTCATTATTAGAGAAATATTTCATACTTTTGATGCCAGCATCAGAGACTAGAACTAGTGGATATTTAGCAGCTCTGTAGGCTGGGGTCATATTGTTGATCTTTGGGTTGACCCCAACCTCCTCGCCGCCAATGTAGATGGAGACATCAACGTCAGGGTAGGAGTCACACAGTTTCTGAACAGAGAGGTTCAATATTAACAAAGTATCTTAGACAGAGAGGTTCACTGGTAACAGCTTTCCTGATCAGAGAGGTAGATATACAGAGATTCTAAACAGAGAGGTAAACATTGATAAAATTTACAGTTGAAATGTTGAAGGGTTACAGTTAAAGAGTAACAGGGATCACAGTTGAAGAGTAAAGGGGATTACAGTTGAAGAGCTAAGTAAGTTATAGTGAAGAGTTAGAGGGGTTAGCGTTAAAGAGTTAAACGGATTAGAGTTGAAGAGTTTCAGGGATTACAGTTTAAGAGTTAAAAGGATTACTGTTGAAGAGTTAAAGGGATTACGGTTGAAGTATAAAAGGGATTACAGCTAAAGAGTTAAAAGATATTACAGTGAAGAGTTAAAGAGATTACAGTTGAAGAGTTAAGAGGGTTTACAATTGAAGAGTTAAAGGGATTACAGTTGAAGAGTTAAAGGGATTACAGGGGAAGAGTTAAAAGGATTACAGTTTATGTATCNGGGATTACAGCTAAAGATAAAGGAATTTCAGTTGAAGTATAAAAGGGATTACAGTCTTACAGATAAAGAGTTAAAGAGTTTGTCAACGTCTAAAGATGCTAATATCGGATAAAGCTAAATCCTTCATTAATCTTTTAAGATTAGACTGTGTGGAACTAATTATACTTTTTACCAACTTATGTAATTTATTAAGTTTGAGGTAAGAAGTTCAATCTCAGGGAGAAATTTGCAATCAGTACAGTGAAACCCCCCTCCCTCCTGGAAAATAAAAGTCGCTGTTGAAAGATGGACAAGTTACGTTAATGTCGTCTTGATAAATATATACAGATTTAGTTCTTTATTTTCACTTTAGATGGATAAAATCTATTTATATTAATCTTTTTGAAATCTTCATGAAATTCGGCAACAAAAAACTTGTAATTCTAACTTAGATTTGCATTTCATTCTTGTTCATTTTTCTTTAGTTTATACACTGACATAAGATAAAGAACACATTCACTACATATTCTAACAAAATATTCATAAAAGCATTAAGCTGTTCATTTTCTAAATTTAACTTTTTTACATTAAGATGAAATTTTAGAGTTTTACCAATAAAAGAAATTTAGGTGTTTTGCCAGTTTAGATCATTATTTACAGAGGCGCAACTAGGGGGGGCGGCCGGGCGNAGAGATATAGATAATCTAGAGATATAGATAATCTAGAGATATAGATAATCTAGAGATATAGATAATCTAGAGATATAGTTAATTTAGAGACATAGATAATCTAGAGAACATGAATAGGAGTAGACAATAGGGAGCATGGACAGGAGTAGACAATAGGGAGCATGGATAGGAGTAATCAATATGGAGCATGGATATAAGTAGTAGACAATAGGGAGCATGTATAGGAGTAGACAATAGGGAGCATGTATGAAATGAAATTAAATGAAATGAAAAAGAATGTGAAAGACCCCCAATGTGGGATCCCCAGGAGTAGATAATAGGAAGCATGAATAGGAGTAGACAATAGGGAACATGAATAGGAGTAGACAATAGGGAACATGAATAGGAGTAGACAATAGGGAGCATGGATAGAAGTAGACAATAGGCAGCATGGATAGATAGGAGTAGACAATTGGAAGCATGGATAGGAGTAGACAATTGGGAGCATGGATAGGAGTAGACAATAGGGAGCATGGATAGGAGTACACTATAGGGAGCATGGATAGATAGGAGTAGACAATTGGGAGCATGGATAGGAGTAGACAATAGGGAGCATGGATAGGAGTACACAATAGGGAGCATGGATAGGGTAGAAGAGTTAAAAAAATCGTAAAAGAAAAACAAGGAAAATGGACTGATTTTTAGGAAATATTTAATTTTTTGGAAATATTTTTTTTTACCTTAATAATTGCTTGAGTATGAACATCTGCTTCTTCCTGTATGCAGAAGAGTATCTCATACTAAAATATGGAAATTAATAAAACAATAAAATATCAAAATACAACCATTGATATTAACTTCAAGCTTTTTACAAATATCTATAAAATATTATTTTAAGTTTTTTAAACTTTATTCAGCGACAACCAACTGATAGGGTTCACATGTATTGTACAATTTCTTTGAAATGTACATACATTCAGCACATTTTAGGGGAAAACCCCCCTTTGTTCTAGAAATCTGATATTCATTCTAAAAATGAAAAATCATGCTATGGAATTCGTCAATAATCAATAAGAAAGACATATTATTATTCACAATGTTTGCATGTATTGTTTAAATCATTATCATACCCCCCCCCCTCTCTTTCCCAATGCTAGAGTTGGGGAAGGGCCCCCCCCCCCCATATCTTTAAATGCAGTTGAATAAGTGCTAACGGATCCAAGATCAGCAGATCTGGATATAACTAGTTTAAGTTGTAATCTTGAAACCATCAAATATTTATCTCGATATCTCTCAAATAACGCATTCATTGACATTTTCATAATTATTCAATATCTGGCACATGCAGTCATGGGGGGGGGGAAGATATGGGCTACAAGGCGGGGGCCACGCTTCCGCTAAAATGAAAAAAATTAAACCTTCCCCCTACAAAATTCCTTTCTACCGAACAGAACAGAAAGTGCAACCCCAAAACCATGAAATTACAATTATAAAATTAATCAATTTCTGGTAAAATTAGGCCGGGGGCGAGTTTGAAAGCTTTTCTACATACTTAAGATCATTTCAGAACAAAACTGATATTTGTGTAAATTTTTTGAATTTTAAATTTCATAAATAAATACATTTTAAAGTTGGATGTAATATTTAATAATTTTGAAGAATTATGTTCTAAAGGATTTGAAATTAAATATAACAGAATTATCAAGGAATCTTCAAATATGGTTGATTTGATTTCTTTTCAACAATTCTTCATAACTAACCAGTTAGGAAAATATATTTTGTTTATTATCTGTTGAAATAAACATTTAATCTTAAACTAATCAAATAAATTAAAAACTTTGTCCTGTTAAAAGATAGATACAGTGAGACCCAGAAAACAGTGGAAGATCAGACAAAATTCTTTTATTTTAAAATAGCTGAAGGGCCCAGCGTTGACCGTGAAAAAAAATTTTATTTCGATTTTTTTAGCCTTTAACACCCCCCGACCACCCATGAGTGTCCACAAAAAATTTGAGCCCAATTGGTCCATCCGTTTGGCCGGCTATACGCAACATATATGTAAACGAATTTCTTGTTTTATTACATAGATAATTAACATATGAAAACTTAAATGTGCAGTGTACACAAACCCAAGTCACCTAATAAGATCAGTTACAAGCTGCTGGACTTCCTAGATCATAGTTTTATGGGCCCCGCTGTATTTAACCTAATTACAACCGTTCCTTTCCAGATATTAATCTTAGCTTATCTTCTTAACTTAGAATTTCAATTACATAGTCCAGGCTTAACAGTTAATATATTATTCTACAACTTGGAACCACATAAACCTTTCATGTTTATCATTTTCAATTCGGAAAAGTTTCAAAAAGTTTGCAAAAAATCAGGAATAAAAAGATATGAGAAACTCAGAAAGTAAGAGATAGAAGGTACATTTTTATTCAAGAACTTATCTTTATAGTAAAGCTCTTCGCTCATACATTATATATATATGTTAGCTATAGCTGGCCAAACGGCAGGACCAAATTGGCTGAAGTATTTTGAGAAACCTCTTGGGTACCCTGGGGTTAACACAGGCTAAAAAATTTCGATTTTTTAAATTCCATGGGCAACGCCGGGCAGTTCAGCTAGCTACATAAATTCCAGAAAAATGTTTCCAAATCAGTGAAAAATGTCATGAAAGGGAAGGTTTATGTGAGAGTGATAGCTTAACAAGAAATGAAGTTTAGTGCCTTAAATATTTATAACGGGTTTATTGCGATTTAACCTTCAATGAGTTCATTAAATATACAAAACCTTTGGGGTTTAGTTCCTGCTGCTAGGGAGAATAAAACCCAGGAAATAAATTTATTATTAATAAAACACTGTTGTATTACTTCCCCCCCCCCCTCCAACCCATCCACCCCTCTCCTCCCATCCTGTCCTTGAAATGAACTTTCCTCTATTTTCTCCGTTTGGTGTGTGTACTGGGGTGGGACGAGGGAGGGGTGGCTGCTCTCAGGGTTTTGGAGTTGCTCCCAGGGTTTGGAAGTAAATTGTGAAAACTTATCCCCTTTTTTACTGTCTTTGTTCAGATCTTTGCAGGGGAAAAATCGCAAATTTCAGTCCAGGTAGCCTGTGGGATAATATAGATTTGATTAGGCAAACTGACGACTTTTGTTTTAGCTTATACATTAAAGATTATTGGTAAATGTAGAAAACAAATTTTTTTTTTGCTAGACACATAAAGGTTTCATTTGAGATGGTCTAATACATCTCAACATCTTAGTAAGTTATCTTATTTCCAAGTTTTTTTTCAGAAGAAGTCAATGTTTAGCCTGAAATAATCTTAAATTGATTGGTGCCATTAAAAAATGCGTTTTTGCTCAACACTCGCACAATAATAGTTGTTCTATTTCAAATTTAGAGCCTTCTGTTTGGAGCTCATTATACCTGCAAATATCTTATGAAAGATGGTAAAAAAGGGGTAGCGGAGCCCTTTTTTCAATTTTCGGTTTTAAAGTACCCTTTTTAAAGGATTTTTCATAAAAGGTCGGATAAATTTTCACAAATTACTCCAAACCCTTGGATCAATTCCAAAACCCTGAGAGCAGACACCCCTCCCTCGTGGGACTAGGGTGGGACTAGTGTGGGAATAGGCTGCGAATAAGGTGGGACTGGAGTGGGACTAGGGTAGGACTAGGGTGGGACTAGAGTGGGACTAGGGTGGGACTAGGGTGGGACTAGAGTGGGACTAGAGTGGGACTAGGGTGGGACTAGAGTGGGACTAGAGTGGGACTAGGGTGGGACTAGAGTGGGACTAGAGTGGGACTAGGGTGGGACTTTTCACTTTTCGTAAATTTCTAAAATTTTCTTTCTTTCTCCATTCTTTCTTGTCATGATTTTAATCTTCCAATCTCATTTCTTTTCTAACAAATCAACCATAATTCTGTTTTTAACTTCTGTTCAAACTAATTTCTGCATTGTCGCAATAATTTTCCTCCATTTTTACTTATCACCATGGATTGTCAATATTTGTTTCAGTCACAAAATTGGTTAAATCATAATTAGCGAAAAACTGCGCCAAAAACTCGTAAGTTCTAAAGTTCTAACAGATTTATGTTGACATTACGTAACAGAAAGCTACTTTTTTATCCTAAAAACATATGGTTTAGAAAGTATGGTACGGCAATTATAGTACAGTACAGTACAATATGAACATTACGGTTCATATAGTACAGCACAGNCGTTTCCTATATCAACCATTAATCATTCCTTTATGATAGAAGGGGAAATATTTGTGATTAAAGAGAAAGGATGAAGAGTATAAAAGACTCAAGACAAACAAAGGATCTACAGAATAAAAAGAAAGAGACAAAATAAACTTTATTATGAGAGATTCTCGAAAAAAAGAAGACAAAAAAAAAGAAAACAAAAATGGAAAAAAGTTTTTGTTAATTATTAATAAGATGAAAATAATCAAAAAGATGACAAATTGAAATACAGATTATTGAAAATATTGTTGATTATTTTGAGGTTAAAAGACGAAAGAGGATGATATTTAGGATGTCGTTGATCGATAGAAGATGACGATGATAATATTTAAAATAACAATTGTAATATAGAAGAAAATGATGATCATATTGAAGATAATATTGAGATAATAAGACACATATTTAATGGTTATCATATTGAAAACATTAATGTTAAAAAGGAAGCTAATGATGATTTAATTAAAGACAATGATGTTAAAAATTAAGGTAATAATGATTTAATTGAAGAAAATGATGTTAAAAATGAAGGAAATGATGATCCAATTGAAGACGACAATGATGTTAAAAATGAAGCTAATGATGACAATGAAGATGATAATGTTCCTGTGATTGGCAGAGAGGTTTCAGAATACTAACACCAGCAAGATCTTCTTGCTTCTCTGTGTCCGGCTGATCTATCTTCCGGTGTAATCTCCACTTCCTGGAAATATATTTACAATTAGTAAATAATATACTCATTGTTTGAATACACATCTAAAACACCATTCTGCCTCCCCCCCCCCTCGCGTTCCTTCTTGCTCAACAGGTTGAACAAGAAGGAACTATTGTAATTCTTAATAACTCGGGCTCTCTTGACTTGAAGAGAATATTTCATATGTTGAAATATACACAAGGGAGTAAGATATCAGATATTCTATTATCAAAAATTTTAAAATTGAACAAAATCATTTAACACTTGATCTGCAGTTAACATAAGGCGACAGAAAATGTCCATTTCGGCTTAGAACTATCGTTTTCTTGTCAAATCCAATCTGGATCAAAATTGAAAAAACTTCTTCCACTGAATCAGTTTCCTTTGAAGGTTAGATTTGTTTTAATTTGTTAATTGATTTAAGTATTACCCTTCTACAAAAACTGTCATGAAATGACAAATTTTGGAAGCAGTTTTAATTGGCAATAAAATATTGGAAATATAAGTGCACCTCTTGTTTTGCCAAAATCTAAAAGGTTTTAATCATCTACTATATCTACCCTCCTACAGGCTTTAATCATCTACTATATCTACCCTCCTACAGGTTTTAATCATCTACTATATCTACCCTCCTACAGGCTTTTTTCTAGCAAATACATTGCAGGTATAATTTACTTTAAAACTTTGCAACAAATTCATTTTTAATAAATATAAAGATAAAATATAACAGGCTGCAGTCTATGTCTCTGTGTAGGGTTTTACGAAAATAAATTCAGTTTCGCCACAAAAACAAAAGTCGAGATGGTTACACAATTTTTCAAAAAACACAATAACAAAAGAGTTTTCTGGAATTCGAGTTTTTTTAAATAAATATCGCGCCAAAACAAGCCCTAATGGAACTTAAAACGCAATTTCAAGTAACACTCCATGCAAAGTCGGCATTGTCCTTTTCAAAAAAGGCATTTTTTATAGATTTAAAGGTTTATAAGGATGTGAATCCAGCATTGCAATCTTTGTATGGAGGAGGGTCACTTAAACATTACGCTTACAGTCCCTTTTATAACATTTACATGTATGTAAAAGTTCGTGATCGAATAAAATTCGCGTTAAAAAAGTGTGAATTTTGATTTTGAAGTCTGGTTGAAATTTGTCGCCATTTTGTTGAAAAAAAAACTAGTTTGTGGCGAGAAAGCCTAGTTAAGCTGGTTCAATAGAAATGTTAAAACAAATGGATTCTTGAGAACTGCCCTTGCTCTACCAGAATACAAAAACAGCATTCAACATGAAATAACAATGAAAAATAAAAAAAATTCAGACAACATGACTGGAAATATACGGAAAACTACAATAAATCATGATCAATGGAAAAAACAATTTAAAGAAAAAAACATTTTTATTATAAATGAAATGTTATTAAAAAGAATTGTAAAATTGTACAGGTAAAATAATTATGTTTGCTTTTACTTTTGGTGAACACTGTACACTGACACTGTACAAACATAATGTGTACAAACATGACCCGGGCCTGGAACTTAAAAAACTAAACATAACCACTAACCAGTTTGATTTAAATTGGTACTTAAAACTGGCTGATAAATATTGTTTTTGAAATTCTTTCATAAACACTGGTATTTCATGAGGTCAATAATCTTTCTTATTCAGTAAAATTTTGCGCAATAGTTTCTACATTCAAAAAAACCGGAAAAATAAAATCCAAAACCAAGTTTTGTAATTCGATACTCTCTTTAATTTCCGGCTCTAGTTTTCTATGACAATGTAACTAAACATTTAGGATAAAGAGCAAACACATGATCACAAACACACACACCACAAACACAAACACCACGTTATAAACACGAAAGAATAACGAAAAAAAATCCGTGAAACCTAAACCCAGATAATGCACCAAATAGGAAAATACGCAGAAAAAAATTAAAAACACAAAACTTGCACACACAAAAAAATGAGGCTAACAGACAAAAAAGGTTAAACACAATATTTATTTCTAAACCCTAGCAACCATGTTTTAGTAGTTAATGTTTTCCTACCGTTTATATACAGTAAAGTGGAACCATGGGAGCTAACTCTGATTTATTTATTAATGAGTGTCTGTGTGTGTGTCTGGGTGTGTGTGTGTGTTCGATAGGAGGATTTAAAGGGACTGTCAGAGAAAGATAATTTTTTAAATCCTTTAATCAACAAGGTGCCATTTACGATTCACGATTAAGAAACTTTTCATGTTTTCAGCCAGGCCCCAGGCTAGGCCACACATAGAATTAAGAATCGGAATCGCGGATTATTTTTATTTAAGCAAATCACCCTCCTTCGGATCCCTCCTTTCAATGTAGACCCATATAAACTGATAACCTTTTATTAAATAATACAGAAATATTGGTTGACATTATGACATGCTGTTATTAAATATATTCCATAAGAAAACATATTTACATATTATTTACTGGAGCTTTGAATACCATGCCATAACTGCGTAGTGCGTATAAACCAATTACGCAATTCACAACCAATCCTTACAATATTACGCAAAAACGAGTTCCAGGATTACGCATTTAAATGGAATTTAAAAAGTCTGGGGCCCATCATTCACAAAAATTATGTGGGTTGAATTTATTAAAAATTTATATTGAAAAGCATTTATTCAAAATGTTAACAGAATATGCATAAAATATAACTTTTCCTGTTTAAAAGAAAATTCAAGAAAATTGCATTTAAATAATTTAAAGTTGAGCAAAAGAAAACTTAAAGTATACAGGATTTAAAACGGATTCTCAGTTCTTTAACGTTTAGATTTATTTAGAACTTTTAATTTCATTTTAATCTTTAAAAAAAAAGATTCATACTTCAGAGATGTGGTCTTTTAATGTACAGTTAATTAGAAGCATTAGGAATAAAGATATTTGTTTTAAATTTCGGAGGATAGTTCTATATTTCGAAGGATAGCTTTATATTTCGGAGGATAGTTTTATAATTCGGAGGATAGTTTTATAATTCCGAGGATAGTTTTATAATTCGGAGGATAGTTCTATATTTCGAAGGATAGCTTTATATTTCGGAGGATAGTTTTATAATTCGGAGGATAGTTTTATATTTCGGGGGATAGTTTTATAATTCGGAGAATAATCTTATATGTCGGAGGATAGTTTTATAATCGACATGATATTTTTATTTTTCGGAGGATAGTTTTATACTTCGAAGGAATGTTTTATATTAAGGAGGATAGTTTTATATTTCGGAGTTGTATAATTCGGAGAATAGTCTTATAATTAGGAGGACAGTTTTATATTTCGGAGGATAGTTTTATATTTCGGAGGATAGTTTTATATTTCGGAGGATAGATTTATACTTTGGAGGATAATCTTATATTTAGGAGGATAGTTTTATATTTCGGAGGATAGTTTTATATTTCGGAGGATAGTTTTATATTTCGGAGGATAGTTTTATAATTCAGAGTATAGTTTTATATTTCGGAGGATAGTTTTATACTACTGAGGAATGTTTTATCTTTCGGAGAATATGTTTTTATTTTGGAGGATGGTTTTATATTTTGAAGGATAGTTTTATAATTGACATGATATTTTTATATTTCTGAGGATAATTTTATAATTCATATGATTGTTTTATATTTTGGAGTAGTTGACATATTTAGAAGTACATTTTTATATGAAAAAGAGGAGATTCATACATATCTATGCTCTTTTCTATATTCCGAAGAGAACTTGTTATCTGTGAAGAAAATCGTAAAATTTCTAAAGAATCTATGAAGATCTTCAGAACCACTGACCTCAAGAGTTTAAGTTTCTTGGCAAACTAAACCTTTCATTCCCGCTTATACAACCTCATTCCCGCTTATACAACCTCATTCCCGCCTATACAACTTCATTCCCATGTGCGATAAAAACCTCGCTCTCCATTATACCACTTCATTCCCGCTTATACAACTTCATTCCCATTTATACATACAACTTTATTCCCACTTATACAACAAAATTCCCACCTTACTGCTACAATACCACCTCCACTACTTCATTCCCGCCTTCTCGTCTTCATTTTAACTCTTCTACTTCACTATCCTTTTCACACTTATTCTACTTGATTCCCACTTATAATACTTTATTCCCTCTCTAATACTTCATTTCAACCTTTACTACTTCATCCCCACTTTAATTACTTCATTTTCAATTTTTATACATCTTTCACATTGTACTTCATTCCCACTTTTAGTACTTTTCCCACTATAACTACTTCATTCCCATCTTAATTTCTCCATTCTCACCTTTGTTCATTTAAACATATCTCTACTTTAATTAACTTTTCATTCCTACTTTCACTTCATTATTCCCATACATTTCATCTGATTATCTAACCCCTTATATTCCTGCTTATCCTTTTAATTCCCACTAACTTCATTAATTTTACTTTATTAATTTTTTAGTTATCCTTCCAGTATCTATGGCATCCCTTCCTTCCCTGACTTCCTTCCCTGACTTCAAGTTCATTTCCTTGCTTACTTTCCTTACTTCCTTCTCATAAAATTTTGTCTTATAAAAGTCTCTAGTTTCTCGTTCCCAACCTAGGTTTGACATTAAATTTCAGTGTTCAAGATTAAATTTTTCTATTTTTCATCATATATTGAAGATTAAAGTTCCTGTGAAGAACCCAATTGAAATATTTGCCAATAGTTTAACCCTTTCAGTCCGAAAGGCCAATATTGGCTCCACACAAAAAATAAAAATGCTACTTCTCTTTTGATAGTAGATGCACAGAGTGTTTTACCTTTATTTTACGTATTACATCCTGTTTAACGTCCCCCAACAATTTTGTAATCCTACACCAAAAAACCCCAAATCATCACCAAGTGGAGAGGGTGGGGGGAGCTTTTATCATTCACCCTTTCGCTTCCGTTCAGATTGGTTCCGTTTATTTTATATTCTGTGTGTGCATATCCCTCTATTCCTACCTATTATTGGAGTACTATAAGGGAAAACAATCTCAAAAGTTCGTTAAAAAGTTTCCCGCGCTATTTGCCTGGCTCACTCTCCCAGGGCCGCGAGAGAGGGGGCGAGGGGGGGAGGTTTGTTCTAGATAGGGAAACACTGAACAGGATATACCCTAGGATAGTGATAACTTTATTTTAGTTTTAATTCATTTAAAGTTGTAATGTCTGTTCGTTTGTTTGTCCGTTTATAAATCATGAACACCTTGACCGATTTGTCTCAAATTTTAATTGGGGAACTCAGTAGAGCCATGGGAATGTTCTTAGCTTTAATTCAAAGTTAAGTGGGTTGACTTTTAAAGAAATGTAAGTTCACAAACAAAGCTGGGTTTTGAATAAAACGTAGAAATATAAATCCAATTAAAAATATATAAGAAAAGTATTTAACGATACAAATATTCATTTCATAGTTTTGCTTTCTTTCCTGATTTAAATCCTTCCTTCCTTTAATATCAAATACAAGGTTTACCTTCCGATCTTTTTATCAATTTCCCCAGTAAAACATATATTCTATATACAACTCCCCCCCTTGCACACACACAAACATATCTTTTTATCAAAAATATAAAATGTTTGGTTTACATAAATGAGTAGCTGTGGAAAAATTATCAATTATTTATGAAAGATTTCAAACAATGCTTAGATAATCAGGTTTATTTCTTACAATGAATCTTTGGAAAAGTTTCAAGATAAAAAGGATGATAAAAAGGATTTCATTTTAATTTAAATATTATTTTTGTTTCACATGGAAACATGTATATCTAAGAGCAGTTATACTGCACATTCATCGTTTGATTAAACTTAAATTGAAGATAGGATTTAATATTAACTTAATCAAATTAAAACTTTTAATTAAAAATTATTGAAAATTTTCTCTTTAATTCCATTTTGACTCTTGAACTTGAACCCTAATTCCATTTTGACTCTTGAACTTGAAACCTAATTCCATTTAACCCTTTAACTTGAAACCTAATTTATTTCTGACTCTTTAACTTGAAACCTAATTCCATTTTGACCCTTTTAACTTGAAACCAAATCTATTTCTGACTCTTTAACTTGAAACCTAATTCCTCTTTGACCCTTTAACTTGAAACCTAATTTATTTCTTACTCTTTAACTTGAACCCTAATTCCATTTTGACCCTTTTAACCTTAACACTAAATCGCTTGTTAAAATGCATCATCATCGTTATTTTAGATAAATAATTTTAGGCCTTACCTTTTCTGGTTGTAATTATCAAAATCCCCCTCCCCCATTTCATTTTGTGCTTGTTTTAAAACTTTAATGCTTGTGAATACCTTAGTGTATATTCCTAACTCTATTTATGAAGTTCACGTAAAAGCCCCGGACTTTGTTTATTTTACAAAAATACGTCATCAGCTGTTTTATCTTACAAGTTCCTTTCAAGTCCTTGGGTCTTATAAACGTCATAGGTCATGAATCATTCGTCATATACATTTTTTAAATCTTCCAAAATCAATTCAAGACATGCAAACCAATTATAAAATAAACTTCTAGCTTTTCTCAAGCAAAAAGATACGATTGTATCTTAATCATATTTCTTATTAGTATCGTCATTTGTTATTGTTATTATTCTTATTTTTATTATTATTCTTCTTCTTATTATTATTATTTAATGCAAGAATTAAGGTCCCCAACCATGTTGAATCCCCAGACCGTCATCGTGAATGCCTATACATTTTCTAAAAACCTTCCAAGCTCAAGTCAAGTCATGGCCGACCAAATGCAAAGTAAACATGTGTTTTTTTAAGGAAAAAGATAATATCTTAATTCTATTTTTATTTTTCCAAATAAATTCTTTTGAAAGGAATTGAGTCTTAGCTTTGCCGCAAACACAGATTTACTAATCCTAATATCTTTAACACTTGATGGTGTAAACCTGTGATATTTCAAACTTAATTTATATGATCCAGCATAATTCATAGATTGAAATATCTAAGGTCTGCGACATTGGGTTAAAAAAATATAAAGATTAGAAAATCAGAGTTTGTTGCAAAGACTCGATTCCTTTCCAAATAAAAAATTTATTTAATGTTGTAAGAAAGGAAAGAAAACGTTTGATCAGACTTAAAACAAACAATATTTTTTATTCTTCTCAAGTTCTGATAAAATACCAGGACTGTAAATTGGCTTATATCTGAGAATAAGTACTTTTTGACGTTAAAAGGGGTTTGTGATGTATACATACATTACATATAATTGATATGAATTCACTACTAGAAGCCACTGTCCCACATGTTATTTAATACTTTTAACCAGATGTTCTACACAAATCATACAATAATGATTCATTCATATATTCTGCCATTAGTAATCTTATTCTTAAATAGTTATATTACCATTTTTATTCATCTTTTCATTTCAAAAACAATTGATATTTGTTTATTCGTTGTACAATGTACATCGTTGTACATTGTACACGGAAAAATGTCAAGAAAAAGTGGATATTTGAGGTTTTATTATAAAAACAATAAACATCATTCCTATATATAAACCACCTGCTAACTATGGATTATGTGACTAATATCAAAGTAAATAAACAGTGTATATACCCAGTATACCTAGATATATTTATATAGATAGTTTTCACGACATATACACAACAAAATTTTGTCCACATCCGGCCCTTACACTACAATCTCAACCTTAGAAAGTCACTTTACGCAGAATAACTGACATGACTTTGCGGCGTTGAAATCCAAGCGAGAGAGTACAAACTTGTGTTGTTAATGTGAATATTTTAAATCGTATATTTCTGAAACATGCAAGATTTAAAACTGAAATAAAATCAACTGTAGTTTACTGTGCAAAATGTTCAAAAAAAGGAGTTATGTTTGAAACATGTAATATTTAAAACTAAAATAAAATCAACTGTAGTTTACTGTGCAAAATGTTCAAAAAAAGGAGTTATGTTTGAAACATGTAAGATTTAAAACTAAAATAAAATCAACTGTAGTTTACTGTGCTAAATGTTCAAAAAAAGTTGCCCCGGGATTTTGCTTCTGTCACGTCACGCAAATATTATAGTCTAACATTTTTATGCAATTTTAACGAAAAAAATTTCAAATGTTCAACTTTTGATAACAAAAGAAAAGGTAAAATGTTCAGTAAATATTTTTCACAATGTACTCCTTAGATTTTTAAACAAGTATGGATGAACGTTTAGGTTTTTAGAATAGTACTTTAAAAGATACGGTTGAGCGAACTACCCCCAGGGGGGAATATTATGCAATAATATGAAGAAAACTACGAACCCGTAGACCAGGGCTAGGATGTGAACGAACCAGAGGAAGACCCAGAGCACCAGGAGCAGGATAGCACTCCCGTACACTGTTATCATCACAAAGTTCATCCTGACTCCTCCTCCTCCCGTCTCCAGGCTCACTAGGAACTACACGGGTCCCGTCCCAACATCAATATTAGACTGAGACCTCTCTAGACCGAGTACCGACCAGAGAAGTAGGAACTTTAACTAGGGAGGGTTCGCGCCTGCGCAGTTCGAGGCCGGTTTAGGGTGGTACACTGTCTCCCTACACCTTTCTAGGCTTTCTAGACATCTCATAGCAGAAACTAATCCTTAACCAATCCATCTTCTTTATACTAAACCTAAAAGAGAAAAGGCATAAATTGAACAGAATTAAAATGAATTTATAAGTGAAACCGCAAAATTCACGTACTTTTAACAACGAGATGTTTATCAGAAGCGTAGGGGGGGGGCTATTGGGGTTAAGCCCCCCCCCTCGGACCAGTGAAATCTATTGATTTCAGGGAGTTTTCATGCCCCAACGGGTGCTGAGCCCCCCCCTGGAAATTAAAAAGAATTAAGCCCCCCAATGATGTTTATAAATATAACTATTCACGATTGCAGTTCTCAATCTCAACAGTTCAAAGGAATAGTTTTAATTGTTCCATAACCATGAACAACGTTTTAAAACTAATTTTATCGAAAATAAGAAAATTTTCCTTATTATTTCCTTTCTTTAGTTTTTCATCTACCATATTAATTTAAGATAAAAACATAAAGTCATATTTATAACGAAAGGGTCGTTAGGTGTTTTAAATGCGTCTTCTTAATATTTTTCATCAATGACGTAATATATGGAAAGGTAAAATTTATGCAACACCAATGCTACGACTTTGTGACCTCGTAGCTTCTCTGGATTTGATTTTCTGCTCAAGGATAATAATATACTTATATAGATTGCATAATTAATATTCAAAACATTATTGTTCTTTTCAAAATTGAAGAAGAAGAAGTTAGTTTAATAACTCAATTGAAGAAGAAGTTAGTTCAATAACTCAATTGAAGATGAAGAAGTTAGTTTAATAACTCAATTGAAGAAGAAGATGTTAGTTCAATAACTCAATTTAAGAATAAGAAGTTAGTTCAATAACTCAATTGAAGAAGAATAAGTTAGTTCAATAACTCAATTGAAGAAGAAGATATTAGTTCAATAACTCAATTTAAGAAAAAGAAGTTAGTTCAATAACTCAATTGAAGAAGAAGAAGTTAGTTCAATAACTCAATTGAAGAAGAAGAAGTTAGTTCAATAACT